TCCCAGTGCGAATCGCTGCCGGACGACAACGAAATGGCCGCCTCCTCTGGGGACCATGTGGTGGGCGGCGGATGGTGACCCAGATGCCTACTGAGGGCTCCAGATGGGGAGACTGAGTAGTACAGGTACCCAGCTGGAACCCCCGGGAGGACCGTTCCCCCATTACGAGCAGCCCGCTGGAGACTCCGTGGACCGCCCATTGCCAGACGGGTTCCCCTGAACTCGTCCAGGGGAAAAAACTCTGCTGAGTCCTTTTTTGGTCGCGTCATTCTGTCAGGGTTGCGGGTGGGAGGCAGGACTCAGACGCAGAGTTCAAAAAGAAAAGGGACTGTAATAGTCAAAAGGTCCAAAATCCAAGGGGCGAAAACACTCAGGCATGAAACTATGGGCATCCAAGACAAAAGACAGGACAAGGACATGCGTGGCAAAAGACAATGACGCGACAAGTGACACAGGAGACACACGGCTTAAATACACAAGGGAGGTGCAGGTGATTGGACACAGGTGGAAACTATTAGATGATCACAGGGGATGACGGGACAAGGCAGGAAGTGAAGTTACCCGGGGACACAAGTGGCAGAAAACTACAAAATACAACAGGAAGTGAAACCACACCGTGACAAGCGGTGAATGTATTTCAGTACCTTTACTCTTCAGTTTGAGATAGTTTTCTATAACCTTTAACATCCCCGTCCTCTCCAGATGTGTTCGTGATGAACTGCAGCGTGAAATGTTCCTCTCCTCTTGCACTGAATACACTCTGTAAAACCCACCGTCACGTCAGGATCTCATGGAACGCGACGCAGCGACAGCAACGCGACAAGCGCTTCGATGCAGCCGGATTAATCATTGAGAAAAACATCAGATTTAACAACAAAATGAACACACACCGGCCAAGATTCAATTAACAAAGAGCGAACGACATCCATCCTTAATCCTGCTTTTGTCTGTTGATCTGCAATTGTGTTTCTGACATTTCGAACCTGCCAAAAAAGTGAAAAGGGTCCAGGTGGGATCAGATGGAGCTGAGGAGCGGCGCTGTGACGGCGGCGGCCTGAAAAGAGAGCACTTATCTAATCGGAGTAGCAGCTGGTTTCTCGTCAGAGCGAAAAAAGAGAAGTGTGTGAAATTGCTTTTCTTTTTCCATCAAGAGCAGCCGGTGATATGCACACGTCCCTCGTGGGGTGTTTTTACACTCTATATCTCGGCAGGGTATATATATATATATATATATATGTATATATATATATATATATATATGTATATATATATATATATATATGTGTTTTCATATATATGACATGAAAATGATTATTTATATATATATATATATTTATATATATATATGTATATATAAATATATATATATATATGTATGTGTATATATAAATATATATGTGTATATATATATAAATATACATATAAATATATATATATATATATGTATATATAAATATATGTATATATATACATATAAATATATATATATATGTATATATATAAATATACATATAAATATACATATAAATATATATATAAATGTATATATATAAATATAAATATATATATATATATATACATATATATATGTATATATATATTTATATGTATATTTATATATATATATATATATATATACATATATATATATATACTAAATTCAAATAAGCATTTTTTCCTTTATGATCAATGGATCATTCTCCCTCGCGGTAGTCGTGAAACCGTCTGTCTTCATCACTGTGTCCACTCGGCACGATGGTTGCAGAATCAATCTGGAGGGAAAATTAGTTTCTAATCCCCACTGAGACACTTTGGACGCCTCGTTCGTCCCAAATGTCCGGCTGTCAGGACACAAATCAAACTCCAAACAGTCTCCAAAGCAACAGGAGCTCCCTGTGACGCGTGGACTCGTGGTAATTGATGATGTCTGTGTTTATTTGGCCGAAAAACAGTTATGGGAGTTTGGTGCACTGCCTCAATGTTCTCCGGGAAGCAGCCAACTCAATTATCTTAATTCCACTCAGGACGCCATGGGATGGAGGGCTGCATGTCGCCGCGTGTGAGAGACGGACGGCTAACGCTCGCTAGGACGTCCTCGCGTCCCTCCTGCATGACGAACACACCGCTGAATCGATCGGCGCCCTGGAATTCTGAATCGAGGCCCCTGGAGACGTCAGGCTAATGAGGTTTCTGTGCGAGGAGCTGAGTGCAGTCCTCCCCTCTTGGTATCTACGCGGGCAAAGCATGAATGTTGCTTTTGCACCAAGGAACAATAGCGTTGAGAGAGGATAGAAGCAATGAGACGTGCAGACCACGAGCCGGTCGATAATCCACCCTAGTTTTGTTTGAAGGGAACAATGTGGCCTTTGGGGGAAATATGCTGCAGAGCCAGCTGGGGTTCGTCCACTTCGTCCACATGTCACCTGTTGCTTGCATGGATCAAAGTAGTAGCAGTAGTAAAAAGTTAGACGTTGAGTAGGAGTATAAAGCAGCATAATGAGTACCTTTAGAACCTGAAGCACTTGTGTGAATGTTCTCTGTGTCCTTGTGAGACATTTGACATTTCTCCGCAGAAACAGCGAGCGGACTCGCCGAGGCCTCAAGGCCGTCAGAGAGCTAAAAGGCGGAAAGCAGAGATCTAATTAGGAGGAGCCTCTTTGTTGAGGCGAGCTCCTCCCACTCGGGGGACGTGGCGCCGTGCATCAGCTTCTCCTTGACAATCCCTCACCTGCATCTTTTGCACGCCGCCATTTAAATCACACAGGCGAGGGACAGAACGTGTGTGTGTGTGTGTGTGTGTTGGGGGGGCAGAGACTGATTCAGAGGATTCGTTTGAATTGACTTCTGTTTGCCGTCTGCGGCGTGGTTATTTGGGGGGGGGGGGCTGTGTTTGTGACCTTTGCGGCGCTGCAGGAGTCGGCCGGTCCGCTCACAGGAGACCTGGTACACGATGAAGGGAGTAATATAACTGTTCATCTCCTGCTGGATGCAAGTGAGAGACGGATGACCGTGGTTTTAAAGTGATTGTGACTCCTCGAGGAGTCGCATCAGAGCCTGTGAGTCATCCAGCAGGCGTCTCTTTGGTTTAGTCTTTACTGAGTTTAGTCACTCATTGCTTATTGTTGCGTTCGGACTGGTTCAAAAAGGGTTTGAAATATGCAAACCCGTGAAATGTTCCTTTATGTGGATGATTCATGATGCAGAAGTCAACGAGTGTGTTTCCACTCAGTAGAAACTAAAGTCCACTAAAGCGTTTTTCCATCACTGCAATGGACCAAGTTACAAACAAGCACGAAATGAAAACTTTTATTATTATCTAATTAAAATCAGCCTCACGGTTTGTTCATCACTCGGCCGGGTGGTAATTACATTTCCTGTTCCTTCACAACAAAGGAGTCCGGATAGGATTTTATTAATCTTTCATTGAGTCACAATAAACGCACCGCGTTTTTCTCTCCGGATGCAGTTTGACGTCCGTTGAAGCTCAAACACTGAACAACAGGCGACGAGCAGAGAGACGTCCGCCGTCCTTCCGAAGGATCCACTCTATCTGCAGAGTGCAGAGGACATCGGTGCGAGACACACACACACACACACACAGACGCACACACACACACACACACACACACACACACGCAGTAACCAGCAGGGAGGCTTCAATCAATCGATCCATCCGTGTGAAAAGGCAGATGTTGATCTGCTTTACGAGGCCCACCGGCACTAATCAGCGAGATGCTCAGCGACTGAAGCAATGACAGTGAGATGCTCTCACAGGAAGAAAGGCTTGGCCCTTATTTACACTTTAACGGCTGCTTCCAGTTATCAATCCCACAAACACCCTCATTTGCTTGTGATGTCTTTATGGCTTTTCTCTTTTGTCCTTAGTTTGTAAAATCCCAAATCAACTAGAAGATATTAAATTGTGTATTTCTGTCTCGCTGTGTTCATCGGCTGTCTTTTGCTTTCATTTGTATTTTAAAACACTTTTTATCTGTTTTATTTGAAAAGTGAAAGTCGATAAACTTGCATCAGCACAAGAATACCTGAGTTAGAAGGTTACAAAACAACCACATCTTTATTTGTGTTACTTATAGTAAAGTTGTCTTTACTGTGGTTTTGAAGTTGTAGTGTGTCTCCTCTTTAGACATTTGTTTGTTTTTTTGTGTCATTTTGTGTGTCTTTGTGAATTCTTGTTTTTCTTTGAGAGTGTTTTGTGTCTCTATTCTCATCTCTGTATTTTTGTTTGTTTGTGTGACTTTAGTCATTTTGTCTCTCTTTGAGGTTATTTGTGTATCTTTTTTTTGTGTCCCTGTGCGGTCGTTTTGCTTCTGAAATACAGACAATAAATGTGGTTTCATTAAAACATTTTAATCTTGCTTGTTTGTATTTGCAGTCAATACTTCACTACATCTCACATTGTATTTTACTGTGTTTATCTGATACTTTATTGTTTAAAGTTTTAAAAGCCGTTTCACTTTTTCCTTAAAATAAAACGCATTATTACAAAAACTGTAAAAAACCGTAAAAAGTGTTTCTGAAATATGATTTCTTGCTTTTTAACGCCGCTGTTGCTGTTTTTTTCCGACCCAACAGAAAACGTCTCCCGACACGCGCGCGCGCACGCGCAGCGGCTTGCGACACCTCCCGCGTGCGCGCGGCGGGCTGAGCTGTTACCTGGTTACGAGCCGCAGACGCAGCGCGGTGACTTCCATCAGTGGGTCCGTGAACACGCCGGGGGGGCGTGTGTGTGAGGGGGGGCGAGGGGGGGCGTGTGTGTGTGTGTGACGGGGGGGCGGGACTCACCGCCTGAACCCACCGGAGGACCGGACAGTTTCACACGCGCGTCCACCGACCGGCCGCCGCGCGTCGTCTCCTCGCTTAAATCCTCAGGAGAAAAAAAACAAAAACCCCGATGCGCGTCGCGGGACCGCGCGGCGCAGGCTCGTCATAAAGGTGAGTTCAGGTGTGTGTGTGTGTGTGTGTGTGTGTCGCCGTGATCACAGCACGAGACACCGGCGACGTCTCCGTCCTCACGTGCGCATCGCGAGCGGGAGGATCATTTATTAAACGTTTAAACACGAACTTTTTCAAAGTGGCGCTTCAGCAAAATGAGTAAAACCCCGTAAGTGAACATTATGTAACTTATTAATGCACAACGCTAAATAAACAAAGTTGCGTAGACAACGAGGAGACGCTTTGCGTCCCTCAGTGGTCCTGTTGTGTCTCCTCGCGCTCGTTGTGTGTCTCTTTGAGGCCGTGTTGTGTGTCTGTGGACACTTTTGTGTCCCTTTTAGTCATTGAGCGTTACTTCTCCGTCATGTTGTCATTCTGCATCTCTTTGTATTTGATTTGCATTCATTCCGAGTCATTGACTCATTCGTATTGGGGCCTAAATCCCCTTGAACGTTTTCTGTTGTTTTCTCAAATCAAGCAGAAGAAAACCGAGTCACGATCATCTAAACTGCTGTTGATAAATGATGATAAACTCTGCATCTCTTTGCTGCGTTGGATATTTTCCAAATAGTAAATTCCGACGCGGAGGCAAACGATAGTTAGTATTCAACGTGTGTACCTGCAATTGCGAACGTATTATGCGTCCACAGCGTAATTGCAGAAGGATGCGAGCGTTCACGCTCACACGCTCCCCTCAGGTGTGTCACGAGCCACAGCGACTTCACACTAAACGAGGAGAAAAGAGCAGAAAGTAGAAACGACTCCTCAAAGAGAAAAGAGAAAGAGCTGCATTTGACCGAACGTCTGATGTTCTTGTTCTCTCCTTTTCCTTTTCCACGCTGGAAATGAATAAAATGCCGCTTTCCGGTCACGACGGAACATTGACAGGGAGTTCTGGTTCCGCCTAAAGATTCTGAATATACATCTTTAGATGTAAGGCGTCTGAGGGGCGCAGGAAGCGGAGTCTGCGCTGCCTAGCAACAGCCAAGAGACGAGTAATTCGTCATTTTCAGTCGCAGAGACCCGGAGGGCGAGCGCTCCACAGTTCGGGAGCCACGCGGAGCCTCCGCACCGGCCCGGCGCATTTTCATCTTACACGACCCGACAGGGTTTAGATCCAAAACCCGAAGGCGAAGAAGCTTCGGGAGCGCCGCTGCCCTTCAGCATGGTGACATGTGCGTTTGTTCTCGCTATTCTGCGGCTAATTCTGCATTTTATTCATATCGTCGTTTGACACGTCGTCCCGTTTGCTCAGATGAAAAACGTTTCGTTGGACATTAAGGTGTTCATGCATGAACGAAAGATGAAAACATGAAGAGGAAGCTTGTCTGAGTCAATAAATCTCTCTTACCTGGCGTGAGGGGAATCGTCTTACAGCGTCACGGTGAGACCGACGCGTTAAATTGCCTCCTTTCACCAGAGAGGGAAGCTTGTTTCCATCGAAAATGAAGCCAAAACATAGACGAGACAGGATATTTCTGTCTCGCTTCAGTGTTTCCTGTTGGCATCTAGCTGACAGAGAAGGCTCGGGTCTGAAGCCTGGATGGGACCTCACCGGGTTTATTAAGGCCGACACAAACCCTGTGTTTTAATCTTTGAGCTTTAACTCTTTCAAAGCGCTTTCCGTTCATTATCGTCCTGAACTTTGAAGGATGACGACAACTGGAAAACACCTGATGGATTTCAGCGTCTCGGGGGCCACAAAAGTAGACGCGATGAACCTGTTGCTGTGCATTTTGTTCTAAAGTCTCTCGTGAGTTGATTCTAAGTACCTTTAGGACTCGATGCATTAAAGAACGCCGAATAGAACCGAGACCAGCTCGATGTGAAGCGGTGCTCGGGGTCTCGGCTGTTCTTCAGTGTTTCTGTGAATATTTATCCAGCAAACACGGCGCGATACGGCTGAGAGTGAGAAAGGACGCCAACAAGGGCGAACGCAACCCGCCGATCGGATCGTCACCTGAAACGCTGGGACGGCCCGTGGAAGCAGCTGCAGGACAGATGTGTAACGTAATAGCGTTATGCGTTTGTTATGAGTGGCAAAGTTATTGAAAACAATTAAATAAAATGCACAATCATTTCAGGTTAAAGATGTAGTTTTTTCCTGCACCGATCATTTTAGCGTTTAGTGAACTTTTTTGACGAGTGGAAGTAAAACACCCGTATTCATTTTGAACACCACCTTTTTCCAAAAATAAGTCAAAAGTTTACTGAATTTCAAGGTGAAATGACAAGTAAAGTTGGACGCGTGTTGGTGTTTAGCACATGTACCGTTGCCGTGGTTACCGTCGCCCTGCTGGCCCCGATTGTGTTCGTGGTTCACTCGCGTGGGACAAGCTCGAATATATACATCTAATATACAAATATGTGCAGAATATGAAGTCATCCCGGGGCCTTCCTGCTCGGCGTTGGGTGGTGATCACTCGTCACGGAGGGCCTCCTGTCGGCCGCCTCTCGTCTGTGGAGAGGAAACGAGCACGAGAGCGAGCCGGACTAAGTGTCCTATTCCGCCGTCCTTCACCGTGGCTTTCAGCTGCTCCGCTCGTGTCTGAGCCGCCGCAGGAGAAAAGAAACACCGATTAGCATTAATGTGGAAGGTCGCCGTCTTTTATGTGCAGACGTGGCACATCGAGCGCGGCAGCTGATTCTCCTCCTCCTGCTCCATCTGCTCTGTGGACTTTAGCTCACGTCAAACAACACTTTACTATAGTTTAATCCGCGAGTCTATGGCGCATCTTACTTATTTCAAGCTCTCCAGTTTACTTTATAGCTGCCGTTATTTGTCCGTCCGTTAGTTAAAGCTCACTCTGAACAGCTGATCCTCGGTCGTGAACGTTTTCGTTCCAGTTAAGAAACGCGTTTAAGATTAGAGGCCCTTTCGACCTTCAGCCGCTCCAACAGTTCAGTTTGTTTAGCGGCGGATTGTGTGAACAGGGTGGAACGAGTCCCGCACGGACCCGACGGCCGGTCGACACCAACAGACTCCAACAGAGATGTATTTGTATGATATGTAGATATTTAGAGGCGGGAGGAGAGAACTGTGTCAGTGAGACCACGCGTTCGTTGGACGGGGGGGAAACAGAAGCGATATTAAAACCAGACGACTTTTAACATTCATGATGAAAACAACCCTCCGGTGACCCGAGGCCTCGTTCCGGTTTCGTCGCTCCTCGCAGGAAGCAGGACGCAACTGCGTTCTCTGTCTCCTCCAAACACTCCAGTTGGACAAAAGGGAGAAGCGAATATTTATTTCATTTCCGTTTGACGTACGCCGCCCATCTCTGGGTTTTCCTGCTCGCCGGTTTCCATGGTGACCCAGACTTCCAGATCTAATGTGAAACGTCCGCCTTCACGGGGAATTGGGGGATATTGGAAAGTGACGAATGACCTCGGGAAGAAACTCCGCAGCTCGCTTGAGTTTGTTTTTTTCGCCGAGACGGAGCTGCAGCAAAGAAGCTTGAAGCCTTTCTTTTCCAGGCGACTCCTGCAGCTGACGCCGGGCTCCTGTTTCAATGAGCTCAGGTCACATGACATCTGGGCCTTTTCTCACTGCTGGTTTTTATGAAGGCGACAATCAAACAACACGATAATAAATTTTAAAAAAGACACCGGGAGGCCGTAAGTGTTTCCCCTGAAAGGTGCTGCTGATGCTTTCATTGTTCTCCCCCCCGTTGACTCGCCGGCGGTCGAGCGGCCGAGGGGGTCGCGGAGCGTGAAATGAAAAGGCAAACACAGATGCCCCGATGTTGTGACGCCGCGGTGGTGTTCGGAAAGGCACAGTTGTAGTATTGTGTTCTACTCAACAGATAAACAGCCCCGTTGGCTGCGCAGGAAAACGGCCACACTCTCTCTTTTTTCTCATCGCTTCTCAGTTAGAATGAGTGTGTGAGTGTGTGGGCGAGTGCACCATCTGCTAGAAGAGATCCAGCCTCACCTCCACCTTCTGCCTCTCCCTCTCCCAGTCCTCCCAGCAACACCAGAATGGCCCACGCGTGGGAGCGCGTCCTGTGTGGTTCACCTGTCGTGGCCGTCGTCGCGTAATCGGCAGGTAATCAATGCGCCTGCAAACACCCACCGTTCTATCTGCATCCTTTGTGTTTCCCTTTGTGTGAAATCTACGCCGGCTTCCTGTGTTCTTCATTGTACATTAAAGGTTGATGACATTGCAGTTTTTAATTGTTTTTTTTTTAACATCAGAATTTGAGCGTTGGAAGACCCCAAACTGAGCGGGTGAATCACTGGAACAAACAGTACACGTGTTTGCCAACATTTCCTCTCTGCTCTGCTGCTACATAATTGCTAATTACTTCAACACTGATTACTTCATCTGAACTGTATTGGAAAAGATAACGCGCAAGAGGACTATGGAAAATATTTTTAATCACTCGCCTTTTGATTGCTTTTAATCAGCTTGAGAGGCGCTGTCGCATATCAAAATAGTCTCAAAGTACATTTTAAATAATGGAACAAGGCTCAGCGTCTTTGGGTGTAAATTCAGCATAATCAACACAAGAAATAGATGTTTTTTACACTCTGTATTATTAAATATATACTAATAATACATCTGTACGCATCTTCCGCATACAGTCGTATCGTGGACTTTGCTTTTTTAAATTTAACATTTCATGATGATTCAAATCTAATGGTAAATATTCACACACATGTTGAGGAGCTAAATGTTTCAGATGAAGCATTCATCAAATACAGAAACGGGCCGTCAGAGTTAAAAAGGACCCTAAATGGAATAAAACCATCCTGTAATTATGAATGAATGTCTTCTGATTTGGGGTGCTGAGATCCCACATTTGACATGATTAACATGTCAAAAGATGTCCTACCTGTCCTTAAAGTCTGTGTCAAATTGTGTCATTCCAAAATAATACGGCTCTTATTTGTCTTAGAACAGAAAGACACGAATGTGTTCTTAAAGTTAGCTGCTCTGAGCTTTCCAAGTAATCTTTCAAGCCTTTGTGAAGAATCTCTCTGGTGTCCTCGGGGGACAAAGACGTCTTTCATTCTTTTCACTCCCGTCGGAGGTTAAACAGAAACAGAAAACCTTTCAGTCCGATAACTAATTGATTCCCCCCCCTCCCCCAGCGGAGCAGATGGGCGGGAGCTGAGCAGAAGGACGCTCACACGGCGCCGCCTCGCTTTTCCCGCGCCAGAGAGACATGACGGCGGACGAGATGCCGGAGAGCGGCAGCTCGGCCGGCGCGCTGCCCGGACTCCCCGCGTTCCTCCTCATGTTCAACGACAGCGGCCTGAACCAGACGCTGTTCAACGCCACCAACTCCAGCTCGCCGGACGCCGCCCCGGGCCCCAGCGTGGCCGGCGTCCTCATCCCGCTCATCTACATAATCGTGTGCGTCATCGGCCTCGGCGGGAACACGCTGGTGATTCACATCGTGCTGCACTACTCCAAGATCGAGTCGGTGACCAACATCTACATCCTCAACCTGGCCATCGCCGACGAGCTCTTCATGCTCGGCCTGCCCTTCCTGGCGGTCCAGAACACGCTCCAGGCGTGGCCCTTCGGCTCCTTCATGTGCCGCCTGGTGATGACGGTGGACTCCATCAACCAGTTCACCAGCATCTTCTGCCTGACCGTGATGAGCATCGACCGCTACCTGGCCGTGGTGCACCCCATCAGGTCGTCTAAGTGGCGGCGCCCTCTGGTGGCCAAGGTGGTGAACGGCACCGTCTGGGCCCTGTCGTTTCTCGTGGTGCTGCCCGTGGTGATCTTCGCCAACATTCAGAAAGCGGGAGGCACCTGCAACATCGCCTGGCCGCAGCCGGCTAACATCTGGCGGGCGGCGTTCATCATTTACACCTCCACGGTGGGATTCTTTGGCCCGCTTCTCATCATCTGCCTCTGCTACCTGCTCATCGTCTTCAAGATACGCAGCTCGGGTAAAAAAGTCCACGCCACCTCCACCAAGCGGCGGAAGTCGGAGAGGAAAGTCACGCGCATGGTGGTGATCGTCGTCGCCGTGTTTGTCTTCTGCTGGCTGCCTTTCTACGGCCTCAACATCATCAACCTGCTGGTGTCGCTGCCCTCGGAGTACCAGGGTCTGTACTACTTCGTGGTCGTGCTCGGCTACGCTAACAGCTGCGCCAACCCCATCGTCTACTGCTTCCTGTCGGACAACTTCAAGAGGGGCTTCCGGAAGGCCCTCTGCCGCTCCACCAGGAAGGTGGAGAACCACGAGCCCATGGAGCGCCAGAAGAAGGAAGGCAGGTTGGCCATCAGGCCCAGGGAGAGCCTGAGGCGGGCGGTCAGGGACGAAGAGGACGAGGAGGAGGAAGACGTCTCGGAGATGAACGAGATCTACCGAATCGCCCAAAACGGTAACGGCGGCCTCCGGCCGCAGAGCTCGCAGCCGCTGCTGCCGGACAACGCGGCGGCGGCCGTGGCGGCGGCGTCCCCGGGCGGGAAGGACGAAGCCGGCGACCTGAAGGGGAAGGACGCGGCCAACGGGTCCACGCTGACTGTCCCGCTGCTCCTCAGTGGAAGCAAGAACGGGAGCATTAAAACTCTGCCGGAGGAGGCGTTGGACCAGAGCACCTCGCTGGAGATCAGCTACCTGTGAAGGATCCTGTGTTCTACCAACACACGTCATGTGATATCTTGTACATATGCATGAATATGAATGTTAAAAGTTGGGCCGTTATTTACTTTCATCACAAGTGTCTTGGTGGTTGTTGTACTTTTATCCCATAATGTTGTTAGACATTGGTTCATATGTAAAACAACATACTACTTTATTTAGGAGGTCTCTTTGCCACCACATCTCCTATAAATCATGTTCACGTATGTTTTAAGGGAAGTACTGCTGCCAGGATCATGTCTGCAGGTTGTGGGGAGGTTTATTCACGTCAGGAGGAACCAAAGACGGTGAATTCAAAGCTTCGACACGTCGTCAACTAGCGACACGTAGAAGCTACTGGACCAAACAACGCAGATACAAGTAGGAGAAAAGACTCCAGCCACAGTGACATGAATGTGAACAGAACACAACAGTTCTCTTACTTATATATTTAGTTTCAGTTGAAGGTGCTTAATGTGTAAAAAGTCATTGACTCAACACGGCTCTCAACATGGCGGCCGAGCTAGCATACTTCGCTGCTCACGCTACAAACAAAAGAAACACTGCTGATGGAGTTGATCGTGTTTCGCTGGGGGGGGTTTGGGGGTTTTGGGGGGGGGCTACGTTTCCGTAGCTTTAAATTAAGCTTTCCTGATTGTAAATTGTAAATACGTGTTTTCTGTGGATTAAAGAGGATCTCAGCAACTGATCCGAAACTACTCGAGAATTTCATTAAACGATCATCGAAAAATTGTCTGTTGCTCAAACTGTCTTAACTCCTGCGTTCATTATTATCATTATTATTATTATTAATAACTGGGACCGTGTTTCTCGCCTTATTTTTCCTGGAAGCATCGAGTTGTGAGTTCATGAGGAGTTCTGATGACAATCTGCTCTTCACGGGGAAAAACACCCGAGATGGAGGCGATAGTTCTTATCATAATTTCTGTTATGAACAAAAAACAACACATAACTTACACACACACAACACTGGTGCCACGAAGACTAAAACGGGTCATTCTTCATTCTGAAGAGTTCAGGTTTCAACCCTTACAACTATAAAAATATCCAAATCAAATTAAATCATTTATCATTTTGCTGTCAGTAGAAAATGTCACGGACATCATGTAAAACTCTTTGGGTTTGTGTTTAAATGTGTTATCTTAGTTTAAAAAAAACAAAAACACAAACTCCAGGCTACGTTAGCCACCACTAGCATAGCACCTCCTTATTGGTGGCTGCGGTGCGTTGTGGGTAATGTAGGTGCCGGATCTGAAGAACACGAGGAACCAGAAAGAAAAAAAAACTTCCTGATACGACGTACAGTCGTGGTCCTTAAACTTTGTCATGTTCCCCTTTACAGGACGGAGATGATGCATTCGTCTCTTATATAATTATCTTTAAAATCTCTGTCCGTCTTTCAAGAGTGAAGAGATTTCATCTTCAGTTCCTCCTCACAGAGGCTTTCTGACGGCGAGTGAAAATACCAAAAGATACAAAGCGGCCTCATTAAACTCATTAGGACTCGTTTCTCCAAACTCCACTCATGCAGCAAAACACGGACTATGAAGGAGACCACATCGTGAAGGTCCACCAGAACCTCCTTCAGCTCAGACTGCAGCAGAGACTAGTCCACCGAGGACAGACCCAGGTCCTCCAGCAGAGACCAGTCCACTGTGGACTTGGACCTGCAGTCGGTGCTCCAGGGGGAGGAGGAGGGCTCAGCTCCAGGCAGAAGCAGCGCCTCCTCTTCGAGGAGCAGAGCTTCTCCTCTCTGGAGACCCAGGACGTGGTGCTGGGGCCCTGCTGGAGAACGAGGTCAGTCCCTGCTGCAGTAGACTGAAGTCTTCTGAAGGGACTCCGGTAGGAGACACTCTCGGCCAGAATCATCACAAAAGGAAAGTTCTTTGTAGGAACTCGTAAGTTTTGAGTCTTTCTATTTACAATAAAGTAAAAGAATGTCTGTGCTACTGCCACCTTCTGCTTGTGGCCCATTTCATTATTTACTATTTTCACAATCGAGATGTAGTTTATCAAAACCTCACAACAGTGTTCACGTGTAACGCAGGCGCTCAAATGAAGAAGAAGAAACCTTTCACTTGCAGGTTCAAACAGATTTATCATGAAATACCACAGGAACATTGATTTAAATCACCTACACGATATCATAGTTTCACCAGTGGTTTGTAAAATCATTAAACATTGCTGTTTAAAATAGATACAGGGTTCATCATTGTACTAAATGTAAATACATCTGTGTAAAAGTACTACTGTAGTAGAATCAAGAGTACAGAATCAATGAACAATATGTGACTGTAATGAAATGCAAATCACAACATATTTATTTGAAGCAAAGCAAAAATAGTGTGATTATCTGCAAAACAACTGCGGTTCCTCACCTGGGAGGGAAAAAGGTTTGATTATCACGCATCATCATCATCATCATCATGAGAATTCCTTGCTTAAGGAGAGTAGAGTATGGGGGCAAATACAGGCTGGTAAATTGTGCATGAAACCATGCGTGCACCATTTGAGCATGGTGGAAACTAACATTGCCCCACACAATGACATCACACCATCAGCTCTACAGACCTGATGTAGCTCATCAAGGAAGGTTACAGGGAGCGCTGCATTGTAAGAGCCCTCCGCCCGACCAAACCATCTTCAGAAACAGCTGCACACATTGCGACGTTGGCCCCACGTTGTCCAGGTACTTGGATTTACAGATTACAGATTACTTTGCTGAATTGTTCAGAACAGCCTTCTGAAAACTGAGCATGCGGAGTCCTCAGCTGCTTCAGTCGGTCTGCGTTCAAACGGCACACGGTGTGGTTTCACCGACACCTGGTGCCTTTTCAGCACGCGTGCAATAGTCTGCGAACTTGTAGTTTCCACATGGTTAAACACATCCCCGTTGTCCAGGATGTGCTGGCAAATTTCTGTGAAGCAAAGATCATTTCTGGCCTGAAGCAAAACAACCACATCCCTCTCTTGTTGGTCAGTCAGAATTCTGCCTCCCTCCCGTGTTTGGCCTGTTCCCAAATCTGCAGGAACCAGAGCAGTTAGATTTATTCACATCACCCACTCTGTGGTAAAATTGATATGCAGGAAACAGTCATTGGACAATTGAGAAGAGCCTAATTGTCAATCCATGCAGAAACAGTGTATGATAGAGAATGATGCTCATATATCACATCCACAGATAATGTTCTCCAATTGGTTTATGTTCCACGCTAATTGGGGTAAATGGATCTCATTATTTGGAAACCTCAGGATCTAAACAATATTGTTTGCCAGTATCCATAAAACGATCCACCAAGGGTTGAGAAACAAATACTTCTCATTTTGAGATGTTGTATCAATTGATAGTTAGATCATTGTAATGAAATGAATGGACAATTATTCCGACCAACGTAAGAATCGCTTTTTGAAATAGTACTTTGATGTTACATTGAGTCATATTGAACAAGTGATTTTAGTTCAATGAACAAGTGGTGATTGATTTTCGTGTTTTGTATCCAAGCAATTACAAAAAAAGTGCTAGAGTTTTGAAAAACAATTTGTTTTGTATCAAACGTTTAGAAAAATGGCATCAAGGTTCTGAAATTAGCGGCAAAGTGATTGTAAAAAAGTGTAAATCCGAAGCCTCCGTCTTTGACGAGGAGTCCACTCACTTATATTTAACCCGGCCGGAGACACAGTGAGACGCTTGTTACGGCTCTCGGCTGGTTCCCCCCCAAAGATGCACGAGGAGCATGAAAACATCATTAAAGGGGATTCGCCTGGCTGTGCTGCATGTGCCAGAACCCCCGTGGGGCCGCTGTGTGTGTGCGTGTTTGTGTGTCTGTGTGTGTCTGTGTGTGTGTGTGTGTTTGCTTCTCTCTGTGTGGGTCAACACTGATCCCCGGCTCCCCTCGCCAGTCACCCGCCTGCTCCCGGCACGCCGAGAGGCGACAGTCAGCCGGCGTGTGATTCTCTCCCACGTACAACATGGACGACTCGACTCTTATTATTCACTTTTTCCTTTGGCCGCAGAAACTATGGAAACAAACCAACAGCAACGGGCTCGATCCTGAGGAGCCTCGGCGCTTCCCTTTGGAGAGGGACTGAACATCTCGGCTCATTCTGGAGCTCATCCGGAGCCCGTAGATCCAGGATGACGCTGGTTTGTCCCTCAAAAGTCACTTCAAACTGCCACTTAGCTCGTCGATCATTAAAGTGCAGCAACAAATGAAGACGGATTTCTGCACAGGTTGATTTGGGATATTTTTCACACAAACTGGTTGTTTGTTTTTAATAATCGTGCAGCTGTATTTAAAGCGTTTTTTGTCATAATGACAAGAAATAAAAATGTGTTGACCTTGACCTTTGTCGTAATAAGTAAACAGTAGAACATTATTATTATTCACAGACTGGTTGTAAACCATCTAGAGAAGAACTCAACACACCTTCAGCACTGATTATTTCATTAAAACATCCTCAGTCTCACTTTAAACTGCTTCTATGGGAGTCAACATTTGACCAGCGGGTGATTAAAGACGTCGTGACCGGCACCGAGGAGCAGCGGCTGCAGCGCAGAGGGAGATCGATTCCCCCCGTGGGGTCGATATCGAGGTGGAATCCTCAGCATGACGTCAGTCTCTGAATAACCAACAGCTGGCGATGAATCACAGCTCTACTCTCTTTTATTTAGTGATTGTTTTCCCTACTGGACGTATTTATAATAAGAGAAATATTTTGAGGAAAGTCTGAACAAAACAAACATTTTGCGATGCGGAATACTTTTAATATCCTGTAAAATATCTCGTTTATCAGATCTGTATTGGACAGAAAAAGCTAAGCCCTGTTTGCTCATTCATCTAGCTTAGCTTAGCACAAAGCATTGAAACGGAGGGAAGCAGCTAGCCTGGCGACACGTGGAACCCTCTGGGGTTATTTTTATGTTTTGGTTTTATACAGATACTAAACTAAAACTGCTAAGCTAAGCTAACTGGCTGTTTGATTATCCGACATGAGAGAATATTTCCCCAAATGTGAAACTTTGAATGTAATTTGTACCTTTTTTCTTCTAATACATTTGAAGCTGATGAGTGAAACTTCAAAACGGACTTTTCGAGTGAATGAGATTTGTGTTTTGAGAGTTTAGCTTAAAACTAAAGATCTTTACAATTTCACAATAGGTTTGGATTTAAATTCCCAACAATGTTTGTGTTAAATATTGAAAGCGAGATATTTCCCTCACAGACACGAATCAACGCGCTGCAGGATCGGTCGTCAGGATCAACCTCTGGGGAACATGAATGATTTGTAGGAAATATTATGTGAATTCATCAAATATTAAAACTTGAAAATGTCAAGTCTCACACAGTCAACATACAATTAGGAGTATTGATTACCTGTACATGTAGAGTCCATTGGAGTTGTACTCAAATGATTGTGTCACTGTTCACGTGTTGGCAATGAAGTCCACGTGAGGAGGTAAAAATACAGAAATAATCAGTAAATCGAGAGGACTTCTGCTCACGCTGAGTTCACAATCTGCCGCCAGCTCCAAAGATCCCAGCAGGACGACAAGTGGGTGCGTTTAATTTGAGTCACAGCGCAGCTGATGATTCAACGGACAGAACATTTAAAATGAAAGCACCTTTGTTACGATCGTTGGCTTGAGTGACGAAAAGCCCAGATGTGCAGAGATGTGCAGATGTGCATCATGTGTGATCACGGCAGCTTTGTTTACCACCTCAGAAACGTCTGCACTGCATGTAGC